CCGCATTCTCAATACTTCCCATGCTCCTCGCCTTTCTACTCCAGTCTGCGCCCAGGCGGTTTTCTTTGGCAGTCGGGCCACGCTGGCCGGTGGCCATCACTGCTGGCACGGCACCTTGTCAGCACCAATTCCTCAGCGATGATCATCCGACGTCTGGGTCGCAGAGATGAGCATCGGACGGGGCTAGGACGAGCATAAATCCATTTCATAGGGTTCCGGAACGCTGTCAGAGCATTCCAGAACGCTCTGAGAAGGCCGCAGCGCCCGAGACATTCTCCAGAACTGGCGGGTCTCAGAGATTCTTGATTCATCCTCCCCCGATTTGATCTTCGTCCCGGCTTCGTCTTAGAGGGGCAGTCCTTCATTTTCTTTGTCTCTCTCTCTCTCTCTCTCCCTATGTATATATATATATACAGATACACATATGTATATATATATATATGTATATATATACATATATATATATATGTATGTATCTATACATATATTATATATATAATATATATATATTCCTCTTCCTATATTTTTACAATCCCGGGGGGGGGAAACCCATCCCCCCCCAAAAAAAAACTGGACCCCCGGGATCTGGGGTTCCCGGGCTCCCTTGGACGTCTATGGAAAAGGTCACCCGGCCTTCCGGGTCTCCACGAACGCCTTGCCAGCAGACCCAGAGCCATCCGAGGGATCATCAGAAAGGCTCAGGGGAGGCCCCATACAGCACAAGAGCGCTCCAAGAGGGACTTCAAATGCGTCAGGACGGCGCAAAAGACCTCCAAGGCACCCCAAAAAGCTTTCCAAGGGGCCTTCAACACATAGAAATCGTCCCATTCGCTTCGTAAAACTCACAATTATAGCATATTCGCCTTTCGGATTTCGTCAGCTTTCAAGACGGTTTCAAAGCCCCCGAGATCGCCTCCAGACGCCCCAAAAGGCCCCCAATAAAAGCTTCAAGACGGCCGAGCCGGGCCCCACGATCGCCCACGAGAGCCCCAAGACAGCCCATAATGGAACCAAGAGGCTCCCCAAGGGCTCCCAGCACAGACCCAAAAGGGCCATGGGAGGTCCCCGGAAGTGCCCAAGATGGGTCCAAAGGGGGCTCCAGCGGGCCCAAGCCCCCCAAGACGGCCCAAGAAGGCCCCAGGACGGCCCATGAAGGCGCCAAAACGGCCCACGAGGGCCCCGAAAACACCCCCACGATGTTTCCGAATGCAAACATAAAGACCCCCAAGGCATCCCAAAAAGCTTTTCAAGGGGCCTTCAAAACACAGAAATCGTCCCATTCGCTTCGTAACACTCACAATTTTAGCATATTCGCCTCTCGGAATTCAAGACGGCTTCAAAGCCCCCGAGACCGCCTCAAGACGCTCCAAAAGGCCTCCTCGAAAGCTTCAGGACGGCCGAGCCGGGCCCCACGATCGCCCACGAGAGCCCCAAGACAGCCCATAATGGAACCAAGAGGCTCCCCAAGGGCTCCCAGCACAGACCCAAAAGTGCCATGGGAGGTCCCCGGAAGTGCCCAAGATGGGTCCAAAGGGGGCTCCAGCGGGCCCAAGCTCCCCAAGACGGCCCAAGAAGGCCCCATGACGGCCCATGAAGGCGCCAAAACGGCCCACGAGGGCACCGAAAACACCCCCACGATGTTTCCGAATGCCAACATTCATCGATTTTGCTCCCATGACATTTCACATTGTGACCCAGTCGTTGAGGGTCTCGTGGCATGCAGCGAAGGTGCCCGACGATGCCCCGTACGAGTTGCATATGCATGTTCATAGCCTTTCACACATAAATTTACATGAACATATGCACGCTGTATACACACATACAGCAATGTAACTATATGGTATACACCTAGACCTTTTTACGGAACGTGCATGCACGTGCGCGTGTATACATGCATGCGCGCATGTACGCACGCACGCATTGCGCTTGCGTGCAGAACTCAAGGGACCAAGGTGCATGGCGCGCAGCGCCAATGCAGTCTTGTGTATATATATACATATATATACATATATATATATATATATATATGCTTTTCTCCTTCCTGCCTCCTTCCTCGCCCCTATTGCGCGCCTCCCCCCCCCGCCCACCCCAAACGCGTGCTCTCCAGCGCGCGCGGGAGCGCGCGCGAGGAGGAGATGGGAGGAGCGACGATGAGGAGGAAGATGAGGAGGATGAGGAGGAGCAGGAGGACGAGCAGAAGGAGGAGTAGAAGGAGGACATTGGAGGAGGAGGAGGAGGAGGAGGGGGAGGAGGAGGAGGAGGAGGAGGAGGAGGAGGAAGGAGGAGGAGACAGGCGGGAGGAGGAGGAGGAGGAGGAGGAGGAGGAGGAGGAGGGGGAGGAGGAGGGGGAGGAGGAGGAGGAGGAGGAGGAGGAGGAGGAGAGGAGGAGGAGGGAGGAGGAGGATAAGGAGCAGTGGAGCCTCTCCTGCTCTCTCTCTCTCTCTGCCTCTGCGCCTGCCTCTGCCTTTTCCCATGCCTCGTTTTTTGTTCTGGCTCTCCTTCTGCCTATTTTTTTTGTTTTTTTATTTGTTTTTATTTTTCTCTTTCTCTTTATCTTTCTTTCTTTCTTTCTCTCTCTCTATCTCTCTTTCTCTCTCTCTCTCTCCACACACACACATCTGTATGGAGAGATCTACTTTGAGCCTGGACTCCGCAGGCAGTGCCTCCCTCCGCCGAGGGAGGCCCCCAGACCCCCGACCGCGGCTCGAGCAGCACCCTGCCGCGCCGGAGGCTCTGCCCGGTGATCGGAGACCTCGGCGTCTGGTGCGGGCCCCACTAATATACACCACCACCACCACCACCTCCATTCATCCAGCCTCCACCTCACCACCACATCTATTCATCCACCCATCCACCCCTCCCCCCTCCCCCCTCATCTTCCTCTCCTCTGTCCCGGGAGGGGGAGGGGATGAGGGAGGTGGCGGTGGTGGTGGTGCATACCTCTGGGCCCCGCATCTGGAGGCCAGCCTGGCCACTGGGCCGCCAAAGAGGAGCCAGGATGAAGTACCGATCGTTCCCTGAAAGTTTCGACTAGACGTTAGACAGGGGAGCGAACAATTGCATAATCATGAAAACTCGGAGGGCCGCGCGGATTTCTCGGATCCCCGCTGGGCCCCCTCCCTGGCGCGCGGAGCGCGCCAAGGGCGGCGCCGAAGGCGCCGCCAGGGGACCCCAGTGCGGATCCGAGAACTCCGAGCGGACCTCTGAGTTTGTATGTTTATGTCATTGTTCTTTCCCCATTGGAGTGACCTTTCGCCAGAGTGACCTTTGGTGCGGGTCCACTGGCGTCCCCCGATCGCCGAGAATGGTACGACCGACAGCAGCGGCTTGCGCGCTTGGGTCTGGACCCCCCGTGCCCCACGTAAAGCCGCGCACCACAGGTCGCTCTTGCCTAGGGTTACTCTAGCGCGTAGCCGTTGAAAGTTGACGTTTCGGGATTCCTGGCTTCCAGAATCGGGTGGACTTCCCCTCTTGCCTCCTCTTCGGGAGAAGGCGGAAGCCCAACATAGGTACTTTCCACCCCTTCCCATTTGAGCGACGCAAGAAAGATGGGGGTCGTCTGCGCCGACATTGGCGCGTAAGCTGCCCGCGTAAGGTCGCGCGTAAGCGCCCTCGTCTCCAATGCAGCGTGCCGCGCCGGCGGCCTGCGTAAGCCGCCGCGTAAGGTCGCATTGTTATCTCGCGTAAGACTCGTTGTGATCGTCGCTCATGTCATGGTTCTGCCCTCTTTTTCTGAACGATGGGGGTACCGGCCGCGGCCAGGAGGAGGAGGAGGAGGAGGAGGAGGACGAGGAGGAGAGGAGGAGGAGGAGGAGGAAGAGGAGGAGGAGGTGGAGGGGGAGGAGGAGGAGGAGGAGGAGGAGGGGGAGGGGGAGGAGGAGGGGAGGGGAGGAGGAGGAGGAGGAGTGAGGCGAGGAGGGGGAGGAGGAGGAGGGAGGAGGAGGAGGAGAGGAGGAGGAGGGGGGGGGGGCCGAGAGAACCTGGGCGCCCGCGGCCAGGCAGAGTCGAGCCGCCGCGGGTCCGGGGGGCGAGTGCCCCTTTTCCCCGCTGGCGGCCGTGGCCCGGCTGCTGCGCTGTGTCTCTCTCTCTCACTCTCTCTGTGTCTCGGTCTGTCCGTCAGTGTGTCCGTCTGCCTGTCCGTCTGCCTGTCTGTCTGCCTGTCTGCCTGCCTGTCTGCCTGCCTGTCTGTCTGTCTGTCTGCCTGCCTGTATGTCTGTCTCTCTCTCTCTCTCTCTGGTTATCTCCCTTCTCTCTCTCTCTCTCTCCTCATCTTTTTTTTTATCTCTCTCTCTCTCTTTTTTTTTCTCTCTCTCTCTCTCTCTCTCTCTCTTTTTTTTCTCTCCCTCTCTCTCTCTCTCTCCCCCCCTTCCCAATTCCTTCTCATCATCCTGAATTGGTGCGAGCCACGAGTCTGCTAATATACGGTTGCAGCATTTGGATTGTGGGACCCGTGGATCGTAGGATATTGGGTGTGATGCGGGCACACATATCCCTCTCTTCTCCCTTCCTCATTTTTCCCTTCCTGTTCCTCCTGGCCCCTCCCCCCCTTCTCTCCCAGGTCTCCCATTTTGCCTCTCCCATCTCTCGTCTTCCCTCTGCTGCTGCTCCTTATTTTCTCTCTCCCTGTCTCTCTCTTTCTCTCTATGTTTTCCCCCTGCTCCCTCTTCCCCCTCTTCCTCTTCCTCCGCCAGCTCCCTCCTCCCCTCTCCTCCCCCCCCCCTCCCCCTCCGGCGCGCCCGCTCCCGGTGCGCGGCACGCGCCGTGCCCAAGACGTCCGTGTCAGTGCGCTGCGTGCGGGCCCAGCGTCTTGGCTCGCGCCTTGGCACACGGAGCGTGCCCCGCCGGGCCTGCGCTCTCGGCCTGCGCGCCGAGCTCCGCGGCGCGGCACGCCGCGCGCCGCCGCGTGCTGAGGCTCGCTCGCGGGGCGGCCGAGGCGGCGGCCCGCCGCGGTGCGCCCCCGGGAGCGGAGCGTCGAGGCGGAGGGTCCGCGCGGCGTCCTGCAGAGCAGCATGCAGAGCAGCACGCCCAACAGGGAACGCAGCGGGCCCTCTCGAGATCCCCTTGGGGTGAACAGAAACAAGCACGGCACGTCCGGCAGATGTACGGGGTGAAGTGCGACATCTGGTCCCTGGGAGTCATGATGTACATCATCTTGACGAAGGACCTCTCGCCGTGCTCCTCTCCTCTCTGGCTGAGCTGCGCGGGCACGGCCACTGTGCTGGCCAGGCCGCCTGGGAAGCTATGCCCACGGGAGGAGTTGTCGAGGAGGAGGAGCTGGAGGAGGAGGACATGATGGAGGGGGGGGAGGACAGAAGAGGAGGGATGGTGTTTGAATCTGATCAGGATGGGGACCCACGCAGGAGGAGGAGAAGGAGGAGGAGGAGGCGGCGGAGGAGAGGAAGGAGGAGGCGGAGGAGGAGGAGGCGGAGGAGGAGGAGGAGGAAGAGGAGGGAGGAGGGAGGAGGAGGACAAGTTAGGTGCGCTCGCGTCATTATGTTTCTGATGTCCTACCCCTCCCTCCCATCCCTTACCATGGCGTAGATCCCATCTCTATTCGTACAATCGGATGTCGCAGCATGGCATAGCATTACATGGCATATCATGGTGTTGAAGATCAACGCATAGCATGACATAGCACGATGTCGCGACGCCCCAAAGTGGGGGGGGCTTCTGCGGCCCCCAAAAACAACGAATCGACACCGAGTGTGTAATCACTTCCGATGGTTTTTTCGGGAGGTCATGTTCTACATGCTGGGGCCGATTTGGAAGGATCGAAAACCATGCCGTGGCATGGCATTGGAAATAATGACGCCAGCGCTGCAGCGGGAGCACGATTCGGAAGGGGCGGAGGCGCGGAAACGAGGCCAGCGCTGCATCGGGAACATGATTCGGAACGAGCGGTAGCCCGAAAATCCCCACCAGTCCTCTGGGCATCAGTGTTTTAGAGCGTTTCCTCTTCCACCCATCCTTCTTCCCTTCGGGGATGGGTTTAACACTGTCCCCTATTAATATACACCCCCTCCCCAAGGCGACTGGGAGCCAACCCAGGTCCATGCGCCCCCCCCCACCATGCCTTACACAAAAAACACACACTCTGCCCCCACCATCCCTGGTAACCAAAAAACTACAAAATACACTCTGTCTCCAAATTCGGAGCATGCGCAGCGAACCCGATGCGGCCTCCTCCCACCATCCCTGTCAACAAACAAACAATACAGAGTACAGTTGGCGGCGGCGGCGGCGGCTGCGGCGGCTGCGTCGGGGGCAGCGGCTGCGGTGGCTGCGGCGGTGGCGGCGGCGGGGGCGGCGGCGGCGGCGGGGGCGGCGGCGGCGGTGGCGGCGGTGGCGGCGGCGGCGGCGGCAGCGGCTGCGGCGGCAGCGGCTGCGGCGGCGGCGATTTGGCAGCGGGGGCGGCGGCGGAAGCGGCGGCGGCGGCGGCTGATTGGCCACCAGTAGCTGGCCATCCAAAGACGACTGCTGCATATGCTGCGGCTCGGGCCAGGCTCGGGTGCTACGTATGTGTTGGGAGGGCGGGTGGGAGTGAGCGAGACGGCTTGCGGGCGGGGAGGGAGGCTCCTGACCCCTTCCCCTCCCCCCTCCCCTGGACCTGGACGGGGGGGTTCGCGGGGTGTCAGGGCGTCCAAAACGGCCTCGGCGAGGAAGCCAAAATCAGTGGTTGTACTACGGTTTTGGCTTCATATTGGCCTCCTGGGGGGGGCCCTGATTGATGCTCCCTTCTCGTTTGATCGATCTCCTCCACGATGGCCCCGACAAGCGCCCAGGAGGCCCCAAGAGGTCCCAAGATGGCCCCAAGATGGCCCCTAGAGGCCCACAAGAGGCCCCCACGAGGCTCCCAAAAGGATCCCAAGCGGCCCCGAGAGGCCCCCCCGAAACACCCAAGACGCCGAAGAGTCCCCCACGACCGCCAAGATACCCCCAAGACGTCCCAAGAGGCTACCAAGAATCGCCCAAGAGATACCCCAAGAGGCTCCGAGAGGCACCAAAGAGACCTCTGGCCCTTGTGCTTGCCCTCCTCCTCCTCCTCCTCCTTCCTGTTCCTCCTTCCTCCTCCTCCTTTTCCTCCTCCTCCTCCTCCTCCTCCTCCTCCCCCTCCTCCTCATCCTATTCATCCTCCTTCTTCCCACTCCCTCATCCATCCATCCATCCACCTCCTCCTTCTCCTCCTCACTCCTTTGCACCGTTCGGCCGTCCCCTCTTTGCTGCTGCACTTCCCTGATCACCTCAACTCGCCCGGACATCGTTTCCAGATGGGCTGGTGGGGATATTTTTTTTGGCTCGCGGCTCCAAGGCGAGGGACAAGGAGCGGGCACAACGTCCGGGGCGCGGTACGATGTAGATTGGCCGCAGTGGCGTATGCACATGCCAAAGACAAAATGCCCTTCATTGAGACGCAGACCGCGTCGGCAGGTGTCCGGCCCAGACATCCCGGCAGGTGGGGAAGCAAAGGCGCGGCGACCGGCGCAGCTGGTGGGGATAAGCGAAGCGTCTAGAATGAGGCCAGCGCTTCATCGAAAGCAGCATTTTGGAACACAAGCAAAGCGACGACCCAAGCGCGGAAACGCGGACATGAGGACGCGTAGCTTGACACAGCATGGCGTGGCGACGCCCCAATGTGGTGGTGGGGGGCTTCTGCTGCTTCAAAAATCAACGAATCGATACCGAATGTGTAATCACTTCCGTTGGTACGTTCGGAGGGACATTTGGAAGGACCGAGGAACATGCCGTGGCATGGCGCCGGAAATAATGACGCCAGCGCTGCAGCGGGAGCACGATTCGGAACGAGCGGAGACGCGGAAACTATGCCAGCGCTGCAGCGGGAGCACGATTCGGAACGAGCGGTAGCCCGAAAATAAGGCCAGCGCTTCAGAGAGAGCAGCATCTCGACAAAAAACAAGTGCGGAAATGAGGACGCGTAGCCTGACATAGCATGGCGTGGCGACGCCCCAGAGTGTGGGGGGGGAGCTTCTGCGGCCCCCAAAGTCAACGAATCGATACCGAATGTGTAATCACTTGCGATGTTTTTTTCGGGAAGCCATTTTCTGTATGTTGGGGCCCATCTCGAAGGACCCAAAACCATGCCGTGGCATGACATTGGAAAGAATGACGCCAGCGCTGCAGCGGGAGCATGATTCGGAACGAGCGGAAGCGCGGAAATGAGGCCAGCGCTGCAGCGGGAACGCGATTCGGAACGAGCGGTAGGCCGAAAATGAGGCCAGCGCTTCAGCGATACCAGCATTTTGAAAAAAAAAAAAAAAAAAAAAACAGCAGAGCCGAAGCCTGTTTCCTGGGAGTCCTGTGTGGAAAAACCAGTACGCGGAAAGGGGGCCGAATATTTCCTGGACGCCACCAGTGGAGAGAGGGGAGTAGCATTCAAATTGTGTAAGTGTGGAGGAGGAGGAGGAGGAGGAGGAGGAGGAGGAGGAGGAGGAAGAGGAGGAGGAGGAGGAGGAGGAAGAGGATTACCAGTGTAAACCCAAGAGCCATCAACGATGTTTGAATACATCTTCACTCCAAGCTAGGCCCCTACAGTGGTTCAGTTCCACTGAGGGAATTGCCCCGTTGGAAAACAATCGTTTGAAGACCCTAAAGCATGCCAAAACATTATTGTCGGGATTCCAACGCCACGGATCATCCTGACTGCATCGTGTTGACGATCTTGAACTTTACCAGAACGCCATTCCTGGGACTTAAACACTGCGAATCAACGTTCGTGCTGCGCCTTCAAAACTTCCATCATGGCTTGTTGATCATGGGTATGGGAGATTCGTTGTGTCTATATATAACTATGCAAGCATACATATATATATATATATATATATATATATATATATACGCGGCGCTGAGGCGAGAATCACCATTTGAAAAGGAGCCACCCTCAATCCATGAAGTTCTTGCACTTTTTCAAAACGAATGCACGCGGCGCGAAGGCGAGAGCCGCATGTTGAAGATTGCACGCCTTCGTTTCATGAAACGGTCGGACCCCATCTAGAAGGCCCTCGTCTGGCATCGCTCCGACGTGTGCACGTGTGCCAGGCCGGCGCGCCGGCTTCGCCCCGCACTGCTTGTTGCTGCTGCTGCTGCTTCTCTCCTGGCGCAAATGTTTGAAACGAGCGTGTGCGACGTTAAGGCGAAAGCTACATTTTGAACACGGCCCGCTATCCATCTGCGAAACTGTTGCCAATGCTTAAGCTTCCGGGTCGTAAATGGTGAGGACGTCTCACGCGAAACGCCTGGCCCGCCTTACACACTTGTCTCGGGGTGCGACAGGAAGAAGTTGTTCATAAAGGAAAGGAATGGAGGACCAGTGTACACCCCAAACTCATCACCGATATTGTAGTAAATCCTCCCCCCCGAGTTCAATTTCCAAAAGCCCTTAGAAGCATTCGTGATCACTGAGGGAGGTGCCCCCCGTTGGAAGACGACTGTTTGGAAGTTTTGAAGTGTGCCAAAGCACCATTCCTTGCATTTCAACGCCGCGAATCACCTTTAATGTTGCGTCTTGGCGATCCTGAATCGTGCCAGAACGCAATTCCTAGGACTTCAGCACCGCGAATCAACGTAACTGCATGCGTGATGACAGTCCTACATCGTGCCGGAACCATTTCTGGGACGATAATTATGCGAACATGAAGATTGGTGTAAACACTCGAGACGTATGTGCGCGGCGCTGATGCGAGAACCACACTTTGAATGCGGCCCGCCCTCCATCCTTGAAGCTCCTGCAGCTGATCAAGACGAGTGCGCGCGGCGGCTAGGTGAGAGCCACATCTCGGGGTGCGACAGGGAGGAGTTACTTATAAGGCAAAGAGATGGAGGAGGAGGAGGAGGAGAAGGAGGAGGAGGAGGAGGAGGAGGAGGAGGATCTGGGATAGGGTCGATGCGGAAGGAGGGGGAGGAGGGAGGGCTGGGCGAGAGAGGATGGGTGGATGGAGGCGGAGAGCAGCTATGAGGAAGAGGAGGGAGAGGAGAAGCAGGAGGAGCCCCTGCAGGACCTGACGCCGCGCCGCTCCCCGCCGTCGTAGCGCACTCCAGGCCTCTGGGCCTCTGGTGGGACCCCGAGACCCGATGTCGTGATTATTTCCAATGCGGGGTCCCCGGAAGTCTCGACCCATTCCCAGGGACCGGTTTCGTTTTTTGACGGTCCCAGGGCCCAGCGAGGGCCGCTAGAGGCCGAAAAGTGAGCAAAACCTCCGTCTAGATTTTTTCAATGCGTTGGATCTCTGGGGACCACCCAGGGGGCCTCCAGAGACATCTCGAGGCCTCCGGGGACTCGCCCCTCAGGCCGTCGCGGAGCTGTCGAGCCGGGCACTGACAGCCTCGGGCTCCGAGGTTCTCTGCCTGCGGCCTTTGCTTCGGGGCGCGGCGCCGCTCACGTTCGCGCGGCCCTCTGGATGGGCGCGAAATAATCGGGGGGCGATACAGTCGACCCGCAGAGTAAGGATAGGCATCCCTCCCGAGGGTACCCTTGCGTCCTTGCTTCCTGGGTGCATCCTTGGACACTTTCGTTGGGCCCCTTCAGGGGCTCGGAAGGGCTTCTTTTCTGCAGCCCTCGCCGCCCTCCTGTCTATCGCCCCCCCTGTATTGCGGCCCAAGCTGGGGGAGGGGGAGGGGGCATGTCGTGGGCAAGCCCAGACGCTATAGAGACGCTGTGGACTGGCCGTCGTTCGCTGGGGCGTGCCCCTTCCAGCGGAGCGACGGGAGCCCCGTCTGGTTGCGTGCTGCTCCCGCCCTGGCAGTCCTTCGTGTCGGGCCGGGGCGGCCCGGCGTGCGCTCGATCCGGGGCGGCCAGCTCGGGGTCGGGCTGCTCCAGGCCTCCCAGATGGGGCACGAGCAGCTGAGGTCGGAGGATCGCGCCGCATCGACGATGCATCGGCGATGCGGGTCGATGTGGAGCCCGACTTTCTCCACGCCGGCGGCGCTGATGCATCGGCGACGTCGTCGATGCATCGCCGCAGCATCGCCGACGCATTGGCGATGCGGTGCGATCCTTCGACCCCGTCCACGCGGAACTTATCTAGAAGGAGGCCTCTAGTTGCGGTCTTGCTGGGGTCGGCCAGCCTGGCCTCAGGACGAGGCCTCGGGCTTCGGGCTGGCTCGTGGCCACAGCCTGTGCCAGCCAGAGCCTCGGAAGGCCTGCCAGGAACCGCCGCTGCCAGCCACTGGAGCGCGCCTGGGAGGGGGTCCAGCGCCGAGCCACAAGAATTCCTCGCGGACCTCCGGAAGCACATGCGCACGGCAGGTTCGCGTCGTGTCGACCGGCTGCGACCTCGCCGCCAGCGTTCAACGTTGAGCGCCGCCGGCGACCCAGAATTGGTCGATGGTGAACGATCGGACGTTTCGGAAGCGGCCGACCGTTCAAGGTTGAACGATCCCCACAACGTCAGTCGACTCGACATGAACCATCGGCACGCAGGTCGTTCCTTCTTTTAGGTCGGGCATGTCCCCCTGCAGGCGGATTTCGGGTGAAAAATTATGGATATCCCCCCAATGCTACAGGTTAATCAAAACATGCACCCAAAAAACGTCCCCAGGCAATGTCTTGACTATTTTTGAGCATTCCCCTTGTAGAGGGACATGCCCGACTGAAATCCTTCTTCTGAGGAGCACCCGTTTGCCGAGCACGCCACCAAGCTGCCGTCCCGCGAGCTGTTCCGGAAGATCCGCGGCGGGAGCCTCAGGCCCTCCGCTCAGCCCTGCGCCCTTCGTGCCGCAGGTCGGGGCGACCTCGGCCTGCTGGCCACATCCGGCCTCCTCCCTCCGCGTCTCGTCTCCTCCTCCCGTCTCCTCCTCCCTTTCGTCCTCCTCCTCCTCCTCCTCCTCATCGTCTTCCTCCTCTCCTCCTCCTCCTCTCCTCCTCCTCCTATCCTCCTCCTCCTCCTCCTCCCCTCCTATCTCCTATCCTCCTCCTCTTCCTCCTCCTTCTCCCCTCCTCTCCTCCTCCTCCACTCATCGTTCCCTCCTCCCTCCTTCTCCTCCTCCTCCTCCTCTCTCCTCCCTCCTCCTCTCCTCCTCCTCCTCCCTCTCCTCCCTCCTCCTCCCCTCCTCCTTCTCCTCCTCATCGTCTTCCTCCTCTCCTCCTCCTGATCCTCCTCTCCTCCTCCTCCTCCTCCTCTTCCCTCCGCGCCTCCTCCTCCTCCTCTTTCTCCTCCTCCTCTCCTCCTCCTCCTCCTCCTTATCCTCCTCCTCCTCCTTCTCCTCCTCCTCCTAATCCTCCTCATCCTCCTCCTCCTCCTCCTCGTCCTCCTCCTCCTCCTCCTCCTCCTCATAGGCCCCTACAACGGTTCATTTTCATTGAGGGAATTGCCTCGTTGGAAGACAACCGTGTGAAGACCTTGAACCATGCCAAAACATTATTATAGGGATGTCCACGCCACGGATCAACCTGACTGCTGCGTCTTGACGATGTGGAATCGTGCCAGAAAGCCGTTTTTGAGACTCAACATCGCGAATCAACATAACAGTTGCACCCGCATAATCCGGAACTCTTCCGAAACACAATTTCTGGTATGTTGATCATGGGAATTCGTGAATCTTGCAATTGTTTAAACGAATGCGCGCGGCGCTAAGGCGAGAGCCATATCTTGAAGTCACCCGCCCTCACTCCGTGAAACTCTTGCATTTGTTTGAAACGAATATGCGCTGCGCTAAGGCGAGAGCTCCCCCAATCCGTGTTGCAAATGTTTAAAGCGAATGCGCGCGGCGCTAAGGCGAGAGCCACATTTTGAAAACCACCCGCCCTCCATGAGTGGTGAGGAAGTCTCAGGCGAAACGCCCTGCCCGCCCTAAAAACTGGCTTCGGGGTGCGACAGGGAGAAGTAATCTATAAGGAAAAGGAATGGTGGAGGAGGAGGAGGAAAAGGAGGAAGAGTAGGAGGAGGAGGAGGAGGAGGGAGGAGGGAGGAGGAGGAGGAGGAAGAGGAGGAGGAGGAGTTGGCGAAAACTCGAAAACTTAACAATAAGTTGTTCGCCGCCGTCCGCCCCGAGAGACGAGCATGGATATCCCTGTGGGTTATGTGCGCCGTGGCCGTCCCAGGCCGCGCCTTGGAGCCCGATGCCATCACACGGCGCGAGGCCCTCGTTGGACTACGCAGGCGGGTGCGACGGGACACCGGTCCCGACGCCAAGGCACAAGAGACCGGCGACCACGCGCAAGTCTTCCTGGGTGGCGGCCCCTCAGGCAGAGCCTGACAGACCATCGCCGAACTTGGATGGAGCTGGCCGGCCTAGGGCACGATGTGTGACGATTGGGACACACGCTCATCGTGGTTGAACCTCCCGATCGGGATGTTCATGCACGTGCTCAGGGCATTACGGGCCTTCCTCCTACGTGTCCCCACCACCAGACATGACCTCGGCGCGGTGGCGGCCGTTAAACAATTACTTTGCCAACAGTTGGCTCCAGAGAACCCAGGGAAAAGCCCGAGGCACCGCATGGCAACTCGGCCTCCTGCGTAAATACCTCTGCGGCGGGGACCACACCAAGCAGATGAAAGTGCGGGCGAGAATCTCTGCTGACCGATTCCCACTGTGCCGCTGGTGTAACCAAGGAGAGTATAGACCTCCCGCCACACACACGGCACTGTGGCCTCCCGGAACAAGACGCAAAACTTCATGCTTTGCAGGCCGGCTTCGCCCGTGACGAACTCCCACAGCCCATTCTCAGGCCACCGAGGCCACGGAGTGGACAATTTCGAGGAGCACACTGACCCCACAGAGGGAGGTAGGTGTGCCTACATAGCCTCCGACGGGGCGTGTTCGCACTAGGCCCATCACCTCCTCGCCAGGGCAGGGTTCGGCGCGCACCACGGACCAGGGCACCACCTGAACGACTCTGGCCGAGTTCGCAGCCTAGCGCAGTCAGCACCACGCGCCGAGACCCCGGCGCTCCTCCACTTCACCGCCACGGCTGAGAGGCCCGCCCACATCTCCGAAGACAGCTAAGCCGTGTTCGACAGATTCGAAGCCCTCCTCGCAGGCCCCCCCCCCGCAAGCCACGGCCTCCCGTACCGATCTCTGGCAAAGGGTCCAACGAGTGGTCCAAGCCAACCCCGACATGTCTCAGGTTCAGCAAGTCGAGAGCCACTTCAGAGAGCAAGGGATCAAAGAAGGCCGTATCACACCACTCGCCGAAGCCTTCAGCCGTCGCGCCGGCGCCCGTGCGCCTTCCGTGCCGCATGGCGTCGCCGGCACGGCCAGGTGGAGATGCACACTCTCGCGGCCGTCCTTCGCAGCCTCGTGGCCGCGACACGCGGCCGCCGCCACGTCGCTCTCCCCCTTCCAGGCAGACGGGCTGGACGCTCTCCCTGGGTCGGCCTCCCAAACCGTGCCTCTTCGTCGCCCCAGGTGCCGCACAGGCGGCGCGCCCGCGCGGCGCCGGTCCGGTGTGGCACGCCGCCCCCGCGCAGATGTGCGCGGCGGCGCCGCCCAGATCGCGGCGACGTGCCGGCGGCCCTGCGCGGCAGCGGAGCGGCGCCGCGGGGCAGCGACGGCGAAAGGAAGAGCAGAACGAAAGCAGAACGAAAAACCCCCTCCCCCTCCTCCTCCCCCTCCTCCTCATCCCCCCCTCCTCCTCCTCCTCCCCTCCCCCCTCCCCTCCCCCTCCCCCTCCTCCCTCCTCCTCCTCCTCCTCCCTCCTCCTCCTCCTCCTCCTCCTCCTCCTCCTCCTCCTCCTCCTCCTGGACGAGCAAAAACGAAAGCAGGACGAGCAAAAGGAACGTTCAGGTCCAGCCCTGGGGTGGAGCCCCGCCCGCGCACTGCCGGGGGGGCGGCGGGGAGCGAGCCACCGGGCCCGCCCAGTGGCCCGCCCCGCCTCGCTCCCAGGGCCCAGGGCCCACCGGCGGGCCGCGGTGCTGCGGCGGACTCGACGGGCCATGGGACCTCCCGCCTGGCATGGGGGAGGAGGCGGCGGAGGAGGAGGACGAGGGGAGGAGGAGGAGGAGGAGGAGGAGGAGGAGGAGGAGGAGAGGGGAGGAGGACGAGGAGGAGGAGGAGGAGGAGGAGGAGGAGGAGGAGGAGAAAGGCCGCCCCCCCGCTCATAGGGGAGCGAAACATGGCATAGACATAACAGCTCGGAGGTCCGCGCGGACTTCTCGGATCTGCGCTGGTGCCCCCTGGCGGCGCCTCTGGCGCCGCTCCCGGCGCGCTCCGCGCGCCGGGGAGGGAGGTCCAACGCAGATCCAGGAAATCTGCGCGGAGCGCCAAAAGGTGATGTTTACGTATTTGTTTCTTCTTCTATTTGCAGGTGACGGGAAAGACCCGCTCGGCCCAGGGGGGGCCCTCGACGACGACGGAGACGAAAACTCCCACCCACCAGACTGACGCGACAGCGACGGCCACGCCGCGGACGGCGATAGTCCGCTTCCACGCCCAGACAGGCGCGTGGCGACAGCGACCCAGGAGGTGGAGGTCCACCAGGACCCCACCGCAGGCACCCCACTGCGACCCATGCCAAACAACACAGAACCACGTGGGAGGCAGTGCGGACCCTACCGCCCCCCCCGACGCAGACAGCCACGCACGGGGCACAGTTGCGCAAGCAACGCCATCCGCCTGGAAGAGGACCTAAGCATAATAGGTGAGGGGTCTCGGACTGCGTCCCGATGGTCAGCTATGTCGCCCCGACTCGCTCTGCTGGCCAGTGCAGCCGCGCTCCCAGCCCCCCAAACCCAGTGCGCCCTGCCACCAGGCAGAACCCCCGACCCACCAGGGGACGGGTGCCGAGGGCCAGTACCTGCCGCCAGGGTGTAGGTGCCCGCATGATCCCAGCGCAGCGTACGTACGGGAGGAGTGCCCTCACGCAGCGCCTCACTTCGGCCAGGCCACAGCCTCCACGGGATCATGAAGCCGCACTCACCGCGAGTATCACGGCGCTGCAGCAACGCGCCTCCAGCCTCGCACTCACGCTGAGCAACGTCCACGAACACTCAAGAGCCCATCTCGACAGGTGCCATAGAGTGCAGTCCGCCCAGAGCGAACTCCAACAGGCCTTCCGCGCACCTGCCCTCCCTGGGGCCGCCTCCCTCCAGGTCGGTCTCCAGGCGCGAGTTGCTGCTCGCCGCTGGCGCGCCAGTCCTGGCTGCTTCCTTCCTCTCTCACGTCGTGCCCTGCGAGAGCGCCTGGCAACGGTTCCGCAGACCCGGCCCCCCGGCCGCCGAGGGGGGTGCCCCGGGGCGGCGCCTTCGCTTCGCGGGGCTCCGTGGCGCACGCGCCGAAGCGCGCTGGAAGCCGGTGCTGCTCTGATAGGCTTGTTTTCCACTACCACCAACATAAGTTGGAGGGGGAGGGGGTCCTCCTCCTCCTCCTCCTCCTCCTCCTTCTCCTCCTCCTCCTCCTCCTCCTCCTTCCCCCCTCCAACTTATGATGGTGGTGGTGGAAGACAGGCCCATCATGCTCGCTTCACGGGGGTGCAGGAGGAGCGAGTCTGGCTCTCGTCACCGCATCCCGTTCCTTCGGATGCCACTCCTGGGAGGTCAGACTCTGATTTTGCCCTGGTCCGAGGTCCGGCTTGATCCAGCTTGATCCCGCTCAAGCCGGCTGAATCTCGCTGGATCCCGCTTAATCGGGCTTAATTGTGCTAAGTCCGAGCACCCCTCCAGAGTAAGAGCCCCCCAAATGGGGCTTGATCCCCCTTAATCTTTCCGACGAAAACCTCCCAGTAGTTACCTTCTAACGTTCTTGCTTTCCCGTCGGGGTCTCTTCTCGACCGCGTCAGTGGGGGAGCTCTTCTTTGCCGCCCCTGTCATTCACAGGCAGGGCCTCCCGCCTTAAGACGTGGGCGCAGCGGGCGCTACCACCCCGCGTGCCCAGACGGACGTCGGCCCCGCCTCATCGGTGCGCGCTATCTCTCTCTCTCTCTCTCTCTGTCTCTCTTCCCATCTCTCTTCCTTGCTCTTGCTTTCTCTCTCTCTCTCTCTTCCTCTTTCTCTTTTGTTTTATTATCTATCTGCCTCTCTCTCAGATCCCCCGCGGCTCCGGGGCCAGCTGACAGACGCTCCCGTCTGTCCCGGCGCCTCCACCGCGTGCCTACCCCTGCGCATGCTGCAACCTCTGCAGCAGTCGCGACGGCAATCCGCGCAAACCTCCAGAACGGCGGGCCATCGCGCTCGCTGCTACGGTGCGGTGCGGGCGTTCGTCAAGGAATGTGCCCAAGAGGCTGTAGGCCCCGGGGGATCCCCTATCCAATTGGGGCGGCGGTGATCTCCACGCCCGATCCGCGACTGGAGTTCCACTGGCTTCCTGACCCTACAGATTCCTTACCTGAGGATTCCTTGCCCGGTGCCCCCACCGTGCCTTCCAGGACGGCCACCCAGAGATCCGATGTCATGATTTTTTCCCCTACGGGTTACCCGGAAGTCTCGACCCATTCCCCAGCACCAGTTTTTCATCCTGAGTCGTTTTTGTTACGGTCCCAGGGCCCGGCGAGGGCCGCCAGGGGCCGACATTAGAGAAAAACCTCCGTCTTGATTTTTTCAAAGGGGTTGGATCTCTGGGTTCCAGGACGGCCAGGGCCACGACCGCTTCGCCCCCCTTCTCGAGCGCCCCGCCGTCGCGCCCCCCTGCCTCTGCGGCACGAGGCTGCGGCCTCTGCCCGCGTGCCCCAGCGGCTGCCCCGCGCCCCCTCCCCCCTGGTGCAGGCTGCCCCCGGCGGCCTGGCATTTTCTTTGGGTGGAGGGCAAAGGGTGAAATCTGGAATGCCGTTTCGATGGATTGTCGAGGCTGGAGTCTGCAAAAGGTGAATCGTAAGACGGATTGATTTTCGAAGTGCAAAAGCCCATCTGGATTTCACCCTGAGCCCTCCACCCTAAGAAAATGCTCAGATTATACTGCCAGCAATGGTGTTTCTCTCTTCTGCTTTCTCTTGCTCCTCGAGCCGACAGCCGGCGCCGCGTATTGACGGTGCACGCGGGCTCGGAGGAGCAACCATTTCTTCTCAGGTCCTGGATTCGTTTGCCCTCGAGGAGGCCGACCTTGCCTGGGTCAGGGCCCAAGACGAGGCTTCGACGCGTCAGTCCGTCCCCCCCGAAGAAGGCTCGGACTCAGACGCGTCCGATTTCCTCTGTCCCCGTTCGATGGCTTGAGGCCCGTCCCCCCCAAAAAATATAAGAAAAGACGACCCACGAGACCCCCAAGACGGCCCAAGAGGCCCCCAAGGCGCCACAAGAGACCTTCAGGAGGGCCCGCAAGAGGCACACACCTTCCCATTCCCTTAGGGAAGCGTGCATGTTCAGCATATTCGCTTTGGCCCACGAGGCCTCCCGAGAGAGCCCAAGACGGCCCAAGAGGCCCCCAAGAGGACTTCAAGACAGCCCATGGGGGCCCCAAGACTGCCCCATGACGGCCCAAAAAGAAGCTCACGAGGCCCCAAAGGCTCCCAAGAGAGACCCACAGGGGGCCATTGGAGGTCCCCAGGAGGGCCCAGGATGGCCCCAAGAAGGGCGGTAATTAGGGGGCCCAAATTCCCCAGGAAGGTCCCAGCACGGTCCAAGAGGGACCCGAGGCGGCCCAGACGGGCTTCAAGAGAACCCCCAATGACGGCCCAGAGGGGCGCCCGGGAGGCCTCCAGAGGTGCCCAAAGCCCTTCAGAGGCACTCGTGAGGCCCCCGAGAGGTTCTCCAAGGAGAAGCTTCCGCAAGCACACCCGCGGCAGAGGGGAGCTGGCTCGCAACGCCAGGCGAGAGCGAGGAGGACTGAGAGAAGTGATATGGAACGACGAGGCGTTGCTTTCCGTTGCCTCGAATTGCGCGACTGGGCAATTTGGGCCACGAGCCACGGGCGAGACCGTGGGGTGGCCACGCGAAGGACCCCGAACGTCATTCCTTCGCATGGTCGCGCGTCTTCCAGAAGGCGTCTTCCTACGAAATATACCGAACTGACCCGAATCGGGGGTATGCAGCAACATTCCCCAGAAGCCCGTGGTGAACCTGGGTTTCGGTGTGTTTCCAAAGCCAAACCGGCATTGCTTGACATTGTATTGCTTTTATTATGCGGCATTGCTTTGCAGTGCGTTGCTTTGATTGGCATTCATTCGCATGGCTTACCAGTGCGTCGCATTGTGCACCCTGACAGCCTGGGCCACAAGCGGACCAGTGTGTGGGCCATACGAGGGATTTCCACGTCGGGGGTGGGCTGCCTCGAAATTCGAATCAAAACGCACCCGAAGAACATATCGGTTGGCGCACGACCATGTAAATCGAGGGCGAATGCAAACAAGGAACGGGTAAGGGGGCTTGAAAGGAGACGGCCAAACATCAAAGGCCAACGAGGATGAAACCAAGGTGCCAACATCTGCAAGGACCAAGATGCGTGGCACGAAGCGCCAACGCAGTCTTGTATAGCTATACCGATAGTTGAATATACATATATATATATATATATATATGTACATATATATATAAACATGTACACATCTCATTTCTCGCTCCTTCCTCTCTCGTTTCTTTCTCCCTCGTCTCTCCCTTCTCCTTTCCGCCCCCTCTCTACCTCCTGCTCCTCCGCCCTCTCCTGGCGCGCGCGCGCAGGCTGAGGCCCCTGGACCAGGCGCACGTCGAGGCCCTTCTTCCCCGTCTTGGGGGCGGGGGGGGTGCCCTCCCCCCCCCCCCCGGGGAGGAGCGTGGAGGGGCGGAGGGAGGGGAGCGAGGGCAAAGGGCGGGCGCCGTCGAAGGCGCGAAGTGATTCGCGCTCCGCGCTTCGCGGTTCGGCTCCGATTCCTCCGCGTCCTCCTCCTCCTCCTCCTCGCCCCTGGGAGGCGGCGCGGGAGCGCGAAGTCGTTCGCACGTCGCGCTTCGCGCAGCGCGACGCGCGGAGTTGGGAGCCCTCGGACAGGGGGCGGAGGCCGGGGAGGGGGCGGGGAGGTCAGGTGGAGAAGCAGGGAGGAGGTAGGGATGTGATCGATGAGGAGGAGGAGGAGGATGAGGAGGAGGAGGAGGAGGAGGAGGAGGAGGCGGAGGAGGCGGAGGAGGAGGAGGAGGAGGATGATGATGAGGAGGAGGAGGGGCCCCCCTGGATGAGTCTCCAGGGCCAACGCCCTGTGGTCGCCCAGGGGCCGCCCACCCCGAACTACAGAACCCCCCTCCCCTGACTACAGAGACCCCCCCTCCCTCCCACTCTCTCCCTCCCTCCCCTCCCCCCCCCCTCCCCCTCCCCTCCCCTCCCCTCCCCTCCCCTCCTCCCTCCCTTGACTACAGGGCCGCTCCCAGGATGCAGATCTATCGGATCGATCGATTCGGTATCGATTCGCTCGTTCCTATCATTCGTCTCGTCCTCGTCCTCGTCTCCCTCCTCCTTTCGCCCCTTCCCTCTCCGCGCCAGCGTCGCCGTCCCACCCTGGGAGAAGAGGGCAAGGACGGTCATTTTTGAAGATTAAAGCTCCAGCTGGCCCGATCCGATTTGATCGCGGTAGTCCGACGATCCGATGTTTCCCGATGCTTGCGTGGCGCTGCTGTAACTATTCAGCGGCGAGCACAGGGGGGCAGGGGGGAGGGGGGAAGGCTTCTAAACGACATCCTATTTCGGCCGATCCGATTCGACTCCGAACCCGTGCCGCTGCTGCCCGATCCGGTGCACGTTCCGATACGATCCAATATCTTGATTCGATGCTGACTGATCCTGCCCCCCCACCTCCCGGGGGCGGTTGGCCACCCCCCTCTCCCTCCTCCTCCTCCTCCTCCTCCTCCTCCTCCTCCTCCTCCTCCTCCTCCTCCTCCATCGTGAATGATGCACCTTGTCTCGATTGTCTCTCTCTCTCGTGCGCTCTTGCTCGGGACTTTGGAGCTGCCGGCTTCTTGCCTTCATGAGGCTTGGGAGCTTGGAGATGGGGAGAGGTTGAGGAGCATGCGATTGGTGGGCGGGGGGAGGATGGATCGGGCGGGGCCAGGACGAGAATGGATCTGTTCCAGAGCTCTCCGGAACGCTCTCAGCGCGTTCCAGAACGCTCTGAGAAGGCCGCGGCGCCCGAGAGATTCTTCTGGGCCGCCGGAACTCGGAGTTTCTTCATTTATCCGCACCCGATTTCATCCTCCAGATCCGCCGGTCTTTGAGAGTCTCGATCTATCCTCGCCCGAACCTGTCCTCGTTCTGGCTGCGTCTCAGTGGAGGTCAGGTAGGAGGGAGGGGCCTGGGGCGTGGCCGCCTCACCTGCAGGTCGCAGGCGAGCTTTCTCCCTCAGTCCCAGAGTTTCGCCGGAGCCAGAAAATATTGGAAAATATGAGAAGTGGTGGGGGAGACGAAAACCCAGAAGATATGGGAAAATATTGGGAATCTTGTTATTTGTGTGTGTATTTATTTGTGTGTCCCAGCGCCCCTTCAGGACCGAGGTACAGAGGAGACCCGTGCGAAGAAACACACTGCTTGCCTCCAGGGTGCCCTGGGTTTCTTGGGTTTCGATGGGTTTGCTGTGGAAGGCGTGACGTTCCCACACCAAACATCACTGGACGTCCTGGGGTCTCAGGGTTGAGCTTCTCGTGGACGGTTTCTTGTGGCCGAGCCCCTACAGTATAAGATCGAGGTCAGTTCAGGGAGGGTGCCCTAATGTTCTTCGGGTTTATTTGATGTTCTCGTGAATCCTGGTGCTGAAGTCCTCGGAGGTTCTGCTTTGATTTGGCTGGCGGAGGGTCTCAGGTTCTTGAGGGGCTTTCTTCTGTCCTAGGGTCCGACCGCAGCTTGGCCATGCAGAAAAGAAGGGGAACTCTGGGATACGCCCCCAGGGAGCTCTTCGGACGCAGCACCATCGAGGATGGACGCCCCCCCATGGCATATCCCAGGGTCGGGCCCCGAGCTTCTGGCCCCCTCGAGGACCCCACGAAGCCTGGGATAGTGGTCGACACACGGTGGAGCATCAGATGAAGAGGTCTTCCCCCGAAAGTCAGGGCCAGGCTTCCTTGACCGACTTGCCGGAAAGCTGGCCCAGTTTATTGAGCGCGCTCGCCCCTCCAGCTTTCAATGCAGAAACTGACCCAGGCTTGCTTGAAGAAGCTTCCGGGAGGCTGGCCCAGGCCTCCTACGTGATACCTTTCTTGGTCGTGCTTTCGGCTGTCCAGTCAACCCGCACAGTAAAGGATGGGCAACCTTCCCAAGGGTACCCGTGCATCCTTGCCTCCTCGGCCCATCCCTGGCCACTTTCGCTGGCCGCACCCCGCTCGAAAAGCTTCGAAACGGCCTTCCAAGGCCCTTGCGTCCTTATCGTGCATCCATATGATAGCATGATGATGATGATGAGGAGGAGGAGGAGGAAGAGGAGGAGGAGGAGGGACCCTGGGGCCGTCTGTGCGCCGCTGCGGCGGTCTTGCCATCCCAGGATCGGCGTGGTGCGCCTGCCCGGCCAAGCAAGGTCGAAAGCATCTCTCGGATCGGCGCTGGATCCCTCTGGCGGCGTCTCGCCACCCTGGCGACCCAGTACCATGGCTTCCGGTTGGAGGCGGCGCGCGGCGTCGAGGACCAAACAGAGGCATAAGCAACAACAACTTTTGGAGGTCCGCGCGGATCTGCCGGATCGGCGCTGGATCCCCCTGGCGCGTTGTGCGCGCCAGGGAGGGGGGTACACTGCCGCTCCAAGATATCCGCGCGGACCTCCGAAAGTTCCTTGGCAAGCAGGCGAGGCCTTCTTGGCACAGCAGCTGTCCACCATCCCTCTGCCTTGGCACCCTGGCGAAGCGCCTTCTGAGGCCATTGGCTAATTCACAGCCAAGCTAATTTCGGATCCAGCCAGCCCGGGCAGGCCTGGCCAGGCACCCACCCATCGTACCAGCGTCTTCCCAGCGGCCCAGTACCGTGGCTTTCTGTCGGAGACACCGCGCGCGGCGTCGAGACATCTAACGCCATCCACCCGCTCCTCAGTCGCACGCTGCGACGCAGCATGCTTGCGGTGCTATGCAGTGCTCGAGGTTGGAAGCATCGTGTTGGTGGTTCGTGCCGTCGCATCAGCGTCTGGTCGCAAGCCGGCTGCAGCGCCTATCTGACCCCCTCCCACCAAGGCAGGGACAAGTGTCCACCTCACCGGTCCTGGCCAGGCCTACTCCGTTTTCAGGGTCGGCGTGGCGCGCTTGTTTGGCCAAGCCAGGAGGGCGTCTGCGCCGTCCCCGTGGGAGCACGAGGGGCCAGGCGAGGATCTGTGAGGCGGACAGTTGGCGCCCACCAAGGTTGGGGGCTGCGCGCAGACAGCCCTCGAGGTGGCCTCGGCTGGCCCCCCCCCCCCCGGGTACCCAGAGGCGTCAGCCCCTGGAGGAAGCCGAATATGATGAGGACGGCGGTGGTATCCATGGCGAATCCACGATTGGTGCTGCACTGCACATGCTTCCAGGCCCTTCGTTCCTTGTCCAAGGGCTCCTTATCAGGTGCCCGCACCTTAGAGGTCGCTGTCGCGCGGTGACCCTCCAGGTCCCCGCGGTGGAGCTGCTGAAGGGCCAGCCCGGGCTGCTGACGCGCAGCGTGCCGCTCCGCATCGACGCGGCGTCTGCGCTGAAGAAGGAGTGGCTCAACGTGGACCCGGACCCGAGCAGGCCCCGCCCCTTCCCCTCCGTCAGCGGGAGGCAGAGTGTGGTTGTCATGCGTATTTCAGCTGTGGTTGCCATTCGTATTTCAGCCTCTCCTCCTCTTGCGCCTCCGTCCCACCTCCCTCGTGTGCCGCCGTTGTGGCCCACAATGGCCCTTGAGTCATCTGGCGCGCAGGCGACGGGCGCGCCCTGGCCCCCGTGAAAGGAAAGAGAACGTGCTCTCTTATAGCACGGGCCCCCCTACTTGTACTTTGTGTCTCTCTGTATTCCACACAGTTACTCCCGTACATACCTCACGGAGGGTCCGGATTCGAGGAACAACCATTGGCATAAGCATACATTTTCTGAGGTCTGCTCAGATCTCTCAGATCGGCGCTGGATCCCCGTGGCGGCGCCTCCGGCGCCGCCACTGGCGTGCTGCGCGCGCCAGGGTGGGGGGCACAGCGCCGCTCCGAGAGATCCGCGCGGACCCCCGAAAGTTCCCCAGCAGACAGGCAGGGCTTTCGGGGCGCAGCAGCAGTCCACCATACCTTTGCCTTGGCCCCCTGGCGAAGCGCCCCCTCAGGCCAGCGGCCTGGTGCCACGGCTCTTTGTTGGCCATCCCGAAGCAGCGCGCGGCGTCGAGACATCTAGCGCCATCCATCCGCTCCTCAGTTTCACGCTGCGGCGCAGCATGGCTGCGGTGCCATGCAGTGTTCGAGGTTGGAAGCATCGTGTTGGTGGTTCGTGCCGTGAGCAAAAACCATCGCAGAAGCATCTGGCCGCCAAGCCGGCCAAAACGCTTATTTGACCCTCCCCACCAAGGCAGGTGAAGTGTCCACTTCACCGGTCCCGGCCAGGCCCATCCTGCGCTCAGGGTCGGCGTGGCGCGCGCGCTGGCCAAGCCAGGAGGGCGTCTGCGCCGTCCCCGTGGGTGCACGGGGGGCATGCGAGGGTCTGTGAGGCGGACAGCTGACGCCCCCCAAGGCTGAGGGCTGCGCGCAGACAGCCCTCGCGGTGGCGTCGTCTGGCCCCCCGGGGCCGCCAAGGGCAGTATCGATACCCCAGCGGCAAGGGGGCCGCGGCCCAGCCGGCCCACGTTGTGGGCGGGGCCCATCTCCCAGGGCTGTCTGCGCGCAGCTGCAGCGTCTCGCCATCCTCGACGTCAGATCCCAGAGGCCCGCTTTCGACCCCAGGACACCACGGTGGGGGCGTTGGATGAGGAATGTGCCCACGAGGCGTCGGACCCAGGAGGATATCCTTGGCCAAGCCTCGATTGGCGTTCCACCGGTCTTCAGACACTGGATTCCTGATGCAAGGGTTCCCATCCAGTGCCCCTAGACTTTCTACTGCAGAGCCATGCGCGGCGCGAAGTCCTGCACGGAGATGATTTCGGTCGAGAGCTCTGGAGCCCCACGTGCTACGGTCAGGAACTGTGGTCTAGCGCACCGCGCCGGTGGCTCTGGCCCACCACGCTTCGGCGCGACACCTTACTCCAGATTTCGTAATATGAG